AGGACTTTGGCACCTGCTATGGACACGGCCCTGGGCCATTCAAGTTTCAGGGGAAGGGCCCACTTCTGAGTTGTCCTTCCTGGACCACCCTGACGAAACCCCAACCCACTCATTGCCTGTCACCTGCTTCATTTTCCACTTGACATCTGTCACTTTGTGGAATCATCTTGTGAATTTCATTGACTGCTGCACCACCTGTCCACCCGGCCCCAGACCTCCAAGGTAAGCTCCAAAGTCAGAAGTCCTGCACAGGTCCGGGCGCACAGTGAGCACTTAAACAACTGATGAGATTTGTTACAGGTAGGCAGAGATTTGGGGGCCCTACGGCAATGGGGTTTCCCCAAACTGGGCTTCGAGGACCTTGGCAGAGCAGAAATGGCGTCCCACTGAGCTGAAGTCAGACCCACACTCTGCCGCTGACATCTGTGTGTATCTGGGCAACTTTCCTTCATCTCTGAGCTCTCTGTGCATCTGCCAGATGGGAGCAGGAGTACCAGCTTTCTGGATCAAGGAGGCTAGTGGGTCTCTGTCCCCAGTCCTGGGAGCTGCCTCCCACAACTCAGTAAGTGCTTACTAATGAAGAAAGGGCCACATCACAAAAATCAGAGGGCACACGACGCCATGAATGTCTGACACTCAATCATTTCCTGAAGTGCCGAGAAAAAACATCTTTCAGTGTTGCCAGTGAAGCCAGGACTGTACACCCTTGTCCCAGACCCCATTACCTCCTTGATATCACTAAGAGTTTGTGTTTTGACCTTACCCACGGATCTCTTTTAAACTTATCAGGACACAGATTCTTATCCTAGGTCACTATTTTATATAAAAATTTTTTAAAAGGAAGGAGCTGTAAGTCTGTGATAAACAGCTTGCCAAGAATGAGCAAAGCCCCAATTTCTATCTCCAGCACTGTGAAAATTAGTTAACTAGTCAATTAATAAAAAATGGCTTGCCTTGCAAGTTGGAGGTCGTGGGTTCAATCCACAATATCATAAAAATAAATAAAATTAAAAGAACTGTCAGAGACACCCGTCAGTTGAGGTTATTTCTAACATTTCCTCCAGATCAGTCACCTCTCTGACTTGACTGTGCTGGGACTCACTACCAGCTGGGCTTCTGCCCCATAGGTGAGCAGATCTCATCTGCTGCAAGCTGTTCCTCCTTGCTGAGTGCTCTTGCCCCTGGAAGGTGATTCGCCCCACCCCTCTCCTTTGGTTTCCAGACATTCCCCATGCCAGAGAGGCCAGGGGCTACCGTTGTCTCTTCCCACTCCCCAACACATAAGGAGTCATGTGGAGCAGGCACATAAGGGACTGTTCACCCCCAACCCATCTTTCCTGGGAACCCAGATTTCAGAAATGGACAATTGTGTTAAAGTCAGTGCAATAGCAAAAGCAAGTGAGAACTAAGACAAATGGAACTTCTGAGGTTCTATAAATAAGCCCCTCCAGAGGGCAAGGGGGCCCAGTGTAGAAGATCTTGTTTTTTTGTTTTTTGTTTTTCCTTTGGGAATGACCTGGAACTCACTATGTAGCCCAGGCTGGTCTTGAACATACAGCGATCCTCCTGCCTCAGCCTTCTGAGTGTTGGGATTACAGGTATGTACCACCATAACCATCTAGAAGGTCCTATTCTACATGGAATTGAACCCATGGTGTGGCACTGAGCAACACCTTTCTTTTATTTTTGAGACAGGGCCTCAATAAGTTGTTAAATTTTCCATGCTGGGCTTGAACTTGTGATCCTTCTGCCTCAGCTCCCCAGAGTGCCATGCTTATAATCATTGTGGTAACCACACTCCGCTTGGAAGACTTTGCTGCAGTTTTCCCCACCATCCAGGCTGAGCTAGGGGTGAACAAAGGCATTAGTTTCCCAGGGAACTTGGAGGCTGGACTGGACTTGGGGGCATAGGTTCCAGCAGGGGGGAAATCTTGATTCCTTGCTCTGGTCCTGTTTACTCTGGGGTAGGAGCTCTCTGGCTTGTGCAAGTCAGACCATGGGGCAAGAGTAAATGAAAGAAGCATCTGGTTTCTGCTGGGACTCTGGAGTTCTGAGGAGATGGCCAGGCAGTAGTGCCCGCTTCAAGTTGGGAGACTGGCATTATGGCCGCTCGCAGTTGGCCCTGCTCTGGGGCTCAGTTTCTCACTAAGCACAATTAGATAGTGCCCTCAGACGCCAGGAGACTAGACGCTCAGAATCTCACAGCTAATAGAACCCTGAGTCCTCCTTTCTTTTTTTTTCCCACCTTACAAGTTCCCACCAATGACTCAGGGAATCGAGAGCAACCAGAGGAAGCTTTGTTTTTAAAAGTCTAAAAGTTGAGTATGGGAGAGGTGGGACATCTTGCTCCAGCCTTTACCTTTAATGGTTCTGGCAGAGGCGTTGGGCTCTGCCCGAGTCCCAAGGACCCCAGATCTGCATATGACAGTGTGTCCTTGAGTGCCACCAAAGCTTAGCTCTCTCAACAATCCCAGGAATCTGGCTGCTCCTTCAACCAGCAAAGAGAACAACTTGCTCAGGGGCACAGAAGTTGGGGTTCAACTCCCTGCTCTTAATCTCAGACTTGGCAGTGCTGCTGAGCAGGGTCACCAGGTCAATCCCTAGCCCTCCCACTGCCTCACCCTTCTCTTCAGAGGGGCCCAGGGGGTGCTACCTCACTGCCCCAGGACCTCAGCTTGCTGGAGACTTCTCCTCAGTCACCAGCCCCCAAGCTTCAGGAAGCACAGCAGCTGTCTGGACAGCCCATTCCGTCTGTGCATTTTGCTTCCCAAGATTTTGCTGTAGAGAAGAGACTTGTGTGGCAAGGGTCCAGGAGGAACAGAGTAAGGGGACCTTCCCTCCCCCGAGCCTGGAATGAGGGCTGGGGGTGGGAGGGTGGGTGGGGCATCGGAGATAGTGACTGGTGACAGGAGGAGTTGCAAAACGTGGGTAGGAGTCCCAGGCAGTGCCTGGGAGCCCATGGATTGGATGGGGACCTTTACCTAGTATCAGCTTTGTCTGCTCCCCGCCTTCTCTCCTTGTGGGAGCACACAGGAGTTTCTGTTGGGTTTCAGGGATTCTCCCTGGCAAGAAAAGCCCAGCTGCCCAGAATGACAGGCTCAGCTCACTTTTCCCTCAGCCTACAGCTGTGGGTGACCAGTCCTTGGTCTGGCAAAAAAAGCTCAGCTGCTAGGCAATGACAAAACTCCACCCTGCCCACCCAGTCCGCCCTGGAAAACAGACTCCCTCTTGCGAGTCTCACGTTTCCCAGTGACCCATGGGTGATCTGGGAACCAGAATTCCTGAGAAAGAATCCCCATCTGTGTCTAGAGGGTGCTGTGCTTTCAGAAATTCGGTAGTCGGATGCTAGAGCCTCACTATCCCCCGCCCATCCCTGGGTACAGGCTAGTGAGAGGATGCGCTGGGAAATACCTTAGATACGCACAGCAACTAATTTGACAAAAGTTGGAGTTCTTCACACGTGAAACAGGAGCATTCTAAAGCGGCTGATGGGTCCAGAAGCCCCTCCTTGTGAAACTTCAGTCCTCTCTGTGTTTTCTACCCTCCTTTCACAATTCTCCAGGTGACAGAGGCAGGGCTGGGAGCCTCCTGGTGATAGAATGTGGTCTTTCACTATGCTGTCCCGTTGAACTGTAATGCATTAACTGCCCCACCCAAGTCACCTGGCTGCTGGGACCTGTGTAAGAAAGTCATCAGCATCGCTAGGTTGAGCTGACCTGGGGTTAAAGCTAGGACTGGAAGGAATTAGAGGCACAACAATACACTGAAGTTTCCTCCTCCCAGCTACCAAGGCAGCAATCTTTCCAAGGCAGCAATCTTCCGTGGGCCCCTTAGGGAGCCTGGGTGAGTAGTCTGGGGTTGCATGCAAGCCTGAATTAAGAGCCCTAAGCCAGCATGAGATGGTTTCCCAGAGACTTGGTGGGGGTGGGATGTAGAGAAGGCCAGCAACCCTCAGGAAATATGCTCTCTTCATCTCTCATTCCTTCAGGGCTTGAGGGTAGAGATGCCGGGGAGGGGAAGTCTAATCGCAGTTTCTAGAAAAAGACCCATCACCTAACCACACATGAAAAGGAATCCCTCACCACCATAGGTGGGGGCCATAAAGATCACAGCTCCAGAGTTACAGGAAGCCTCGGCCCAGTAGGTATGCGTGAATAAGTATGCGTGTTCCGGATGGACTGTTCCTCATTTGGGTGACTGGACAGACCTGGCTGTCAATGCTGGTCCTGCTTGGAACTTTGCATGACCCAGTTGTGTCCCCTTTCTGAGCTTTTGACAGTCAAGTAGCCATCTCTCCATTCCCAACCCTTGTCACCCCACCTGCCGTGCACCATGAGAAGCACAACAACAGAAGCCACCTGCAAACTCTGAGATATCTGAGACTGGCAAGAAGACAATGGAGACCTCCCTGCCAAGGGGCGCGTTCCCAAGCTGCACCCCTGCAATGGACCTCCTCACCTGGTGGGCTCAGCATTTCATTTCTCTGTGAAGATCAGGTGCTCTCACTGCTAGCAGCCGGTCTCCGACCTCTCAGGCAGGGCGTCCCTGCCTAGACCACAAATGATGTGTGAATTCTGGGGAGCAACTGGAGCGAGCACATGTGCGAAAGAACAATCGGCCTCAGAAGCTCGCCTCTATGAATCTCACATCCCATCTGTCTCAACAAGGGGCCGATCAGGACCATGTCAAGGACCGCTCCGTGGGTCCTTCAAGTCCCAGGAGACAGAGCCCCAACAATACAGGGGGCTCCTGGTCCTGGGCCCCTTCAACTGCCCTGGCCTGCCGAGTCTAGAGCTGGGAAGGAAAGAAGTTGGAGTTCACAGCAATCTCTCACGCCCAGGGTGACGGTGATTTCTGTGTTTGGGCCCCTGTCCTCCACAGCGCCAGAGGAAAAGCTGCTCTGGAAGCAACTGTGAGCACCTTTCTTACCTCCCCACCATGCCCCAACCCCACCTCCCATGGACTCAAGCCCCAGTACCAAGCCCAACTGTGTCATAAAATATTTTATTGGAAAAAAGTCACCATCTTCGCAAGAAGGGGGTAGGAGCCCCTGTGACATCGGGGACCCAGCCTCGGCCAAACAGCCCGGTTCCCCTGGTGGTGGCCTGCTCCTGGATGCTGGGTCCCCGGCCCGGCCGGCCCACGAGGAAGCGGATGTGTGCCTGGCTGCGTGGACCCAGAGGCCGCCAAGGCTGGGCGGGGTGTGGGTGGGTGAGGAGCTGGGCGTGAATGCACCTGGGGCGCCGGCGCCGCAGAGCTCCGGGAAAGACCGTGACTTCTGCAGAGACTCTCCCAGGTTAGGACAAGGCATGCGCCCGGGCCCAGATTTGGCTTCAAGGTCTGTGTCCTTCCCTGTTTGGGCCCCTAACTGTCCACATTCAGACTAATAATAAAATATTTGGAAGGCAAACGGCACGGCTGCAGAAGGGCCGGCTCGTGGGGTCCCGCGGCAGGCTGAGGGGGCCGCGGTGAGGGGTCTCTCTCCAGCTTCCCACCCTCTGCCCAGCTCAGTCCTCGCGGCTCCGGTCGCTAGGCTCGCCCGGCACCTCCGCCGGCTTCTCCGCCTCCTTGGTGCGCTCCTGCTCAGTGAGCTGCTCGCTGGACGGGATGGAGTTCTTCTTTGGCCGCCCCTTAGGCTTGGTAGGGGACTCCAGGCCGCCGCCCTGCAGCACCTGCGTGGAGGGTAAGCGGTACTGCGGGAGCCAGGAGGAGGCCCCAGAGACGCCCACGCCCAGCGCGCAATCTGGACTGGAGGGCCCAGCCCGGTCCCCGAAAGCAGCTGCCGGCCCTTGGGACACGGCAGACACTTGTCTGAGTGCTGCGGAAGAGTCGAGGCCCCAAAGTCCAGCGAGTAGTTCAGGCTGCCAGGAAACCGAGAGTACAACGGGACAGGAAGAAACGCTGGCTCACTAGGGTACTCAAAGGGTCAGAAAAAAACAAGAGGGGCCTCCTGAGCCCCAGGTGCCAAGGGAACAGAGAGGGGTGACATCTCCGCGGAGGAGGAGCGCGGAGAATTTCTTGGGACGCTTGGGAATGGCCCGGGAAAATACCGGACGCAGGCACACTCACTATTTTCTTCCACTTCATCCTCCGATTCTGATACCAAGTCTTCACCTGCAACTGGCTTAGGCCAAGGGACTCAGCGAGGTCTATTCTGCAAAGAGCAGAACGCACTCTGAGAGGGCAATCGGCCACCAATCCGATCCCCCTGCCGCCGCCTCCCAGCCCAGCGTGGCCCGCGCTACCTGTCCGGCGTGGAGAGATACTTCTGCTTCTCAAAGCGTTTCTCCAGGCCCATCAACTGCAGCTCGGTGAACACAGTGCGGCTCCGGCGTCCCTTCTTCGCCTTCGTGCCTGGCTCCCCGGGGCCTGCTGCCTCCAACTTCCCGCGTAGCTGCAGCTCCAGAGGCAGGTGCGCGGCGCCCGCGCCTCCAGGCAGCCCAGGCCCGGTGGCCAACAGCGCTGAGCCTAGCCCGGAACAGCCGAGCGGCGCCAGTGGGAACTTGAATACAGCTGCCTGCTCGGCCTTCAGCACCGCTGCGGAGAGACAGGGTAGGAAGCCGGTGAGCTGGAGTCTGCGACCTTCAGCCTGGGGGTTCACTGCACCACACGCCGCGGGGAAGTCTGAGCTCAGTCAGTGCCATCCAGCGAAAAACCTGCGCGCCTGGCTGTGCGACTTGAGGATTTGAGCCAGGCTCACAAGGCGGACTTTCCTCTATGCTGTTAACCCGGGACTCTGGAAGGGAGGATCTCTCCCACCCTGCGCTCTGCCCCTCTCTGCCCTGGCCTTCCCCAGGCCTCCGTAGCCTCTAAGATTTGGAGCTTCTGCAGAAATAAGAAGAATCAAGTAGTGTATTTCTGGGGGTGGGTGCGGGGGGGGCGGGGAGGGAAACCAAGCAGAAGGGTTGTTAGGAAGGTGGGCAATTGCCCCAACCAAATCTCACTGCTGCATTCAGAAAAGGGAAGGAGGGAATGTGCACATTTGTTTCTCTGTGTCACACAAGGCACAGTAGCCACTGG